TCTATTTAACGGGAAATAGCTTGCAATCATTTGATAAATTTCCCATGAATTTTGGCATTGATAGTGCCACAAATTAACTGCCATGATTATGACAACTCTCTGAAAAGCACAAATAAAGCAAATAAAACATTAATCCTTCTAAATAGTGTAACAGACAACAAAAGTGCTGAGTTGTAGGAAAATGAATACAAACTTCACATCAGGAGAACAAAGGTTATGTAAACTGTGTATCTCATTATCCTGAAGATCACCTTCATGACCACCCATAGACAATTTCCTAAATGCTCTCTGGTTTACAGGTATTTCTTTTACAGCCCATTTCTCCTATAAAATTCCAGAACTGCAGCAGTTAAAACTATTCACCTTCTTAAATGTCCACAAGTACTTGTGTAAATCTACTGGGCAATCACTGTGTGAATTTAAAAAGCAGTGAAAAACACTGGGTAACAAACATGATATATCCTGTGGTGTCAGAGAAGATGCTAATCTAAAACAGAACAAACTCTCTAACATTTGGGGTACTTCAAAAACAAAAACAATCATACTCCTCTAACACTAAGAAAATGTAACTTACCCAAATATACCACAAGAGGCTCAGATGAATTCCATTTCACAGAGATTCAACATTCTTTTATTCACTGAGAAAGCTAGGAAGTGATACTAACCTGAAAAGGCTAACATCTCAAAAGTAAAGGTGATTTATTGAGCACCTTAAGAAATGGAAATTCTTTTGAGCTGTGACCAAAGTGTGGTCTGTATTGTGACCACAATTAACAAGAAATAAATTTTATCAGAGAGCTAGAGTAGTAAGATTTGAAGAAGGAACGTAATATTAAAAATGGAACTACATCCAAGGAAGAATTAGATTCTGCTAGACGACTCTGGCTTTCCATTATATGTAATACTGGGGAAAAAACAAAACAAATATGAACAGTTTCACACATACCAAAAAAAAAAGACAAACCACAGAAATGTTGGGAGTTTTATACTACATGACTCAAACCAGAAGTTATTCCAGAGGAAGGGAAAGGAGCAGTAACTACTATCATCTGGGAAGGTTTCACCCAAATTAGTATTTTCCAGGAAACACAAGGCACTTGCTTAAATCTTTGACTGTCTACACATCCACCAGACTAAAAGTCCTGATGCGCTTCCATCTGCACCCTAATCTGAATAAAGCCACCTGGCACATACCCTCGCATGAAAGTCCAGGTAAAACATGTGGTCACTGAGTGTCTCCCCCAACCCCTCACCCAGTAACTATGTCAGTATAATTACCATCAGTTACTACGGTGCTGATTTTCATTAAATTATAAAAAATAAAATGTCACACTGCCAAATGTAACTAGTAGCAGAAATTATGTAAGCTAGGCCTAATTTTATAAGGTTAGGACAAAAGCCTAAGAAAATGATGCCAAAATGCCAGTTACCTGCATTTGAGAAATAACTCAAATGAGTCCTAAAACAGCATCTGAGTACTGTAATTCTGACTATAATTTATTCCAGAAAGGTAACTGATTCCCTTACCAGGGTGAAAGCCCAGTGTACTAAGACAGAAACCAACGTTACGCCAATAGTTTCTCTTCAACTTCCTTTACATGGCAGCACTCTTTCTGGCAGCATCCCTTATAATAAATTTGCTCAAAGGTTAAAATATAAGTACAAGTAACATGATTCTAGAAGAGAAGTTAAATAATAATTCAGATTTTTTTTTAAAAAGGCTAATTTAACATAGCTCAGCACTCTTTTATTTAGCAGCCAGAGTACCTTTAAAAAGAAGGCAATACCTGTCTCAATGAAAACAGGGAGAAGGATGAGAAAAACTGTATTTGTGGTTTTGTTCTAAAAGCAGCCATAGTAGTGGCCCAAGGCATAGCAGAGAATTTTTTTCCTAAAGATGTGCTATACTGATGGCCACAAGACAGGGAAGACATCCAGTAATAATAAATGCAATCAATCTCTTATTGCAAGAGGCTCATTTTGTTATTATGCCTTTAAAATGCAGCAAATAGTTTCTTTTAGCTAGTGCTATCTTCTACTGAGGCATCCAACCCCATTTCTTCTTCTCTAAATACAGCATTAAAGTTTTGAAAGTGGCCAACTAGCCACCTCCTCCAAATATGTTTCCAAAGAACCAAAGATTTCCTACAGAATAATCAATTTACATGCCTTTTCTGGGACAAAAATGTACCAGGACAACATCATGGGACAATAAGGAAGAAACTTGAAGGCAAGAGGGAAGGAAGCACAGATATTAATTCAGGGAAAGAAAAATTACCTGAGATAAAATTTTCCCAAACTGGTAGGGGTTACGTGAACATGAACCTTCATATGTTTACCCTACCTCTCCAAAAGAAAATTTGTTTTTAAAACTTCAAGGAATCAAAATCTCTGTGTATATATTTCATCCTAAAGGATGATGAAAACTGCATCTTTTAATATTTGGTTCAGGTTTAAAAAAGTTAACAAGATTAAACTTCTCATAATATTAGAAGAGGGAGAAAAATCTGCAAATGTCATCTTTGGTAGTAATGGGCTAAGAGCTATAAAATAACAATTTAAATCAAAGGAGGCATCTTTTTTCAATTTTGTGGCTTAAATATAAAACATTTAATTCAATGCATGATTACTTAGGCTCATCAGTTATTCCCTCAGCCCACTTAAAATCTAGTTAGCATCTGCTATAATAAAATTCTACAGTGTTAAACACTACATATACTCATGATGTATACTCATCAACAATAAGACGATCAAAGAATGCTGTGAAATTCAGCATGAAGATGTTAGCAGCACTGCAGCATTACGCTTAGAAGCCCACCTGCAGTTTACTTGTAAGGACTTTTCTTTTTGGTGGTGGTGGGGAAGGGAAATGAGAAAGGTGTATGTGCTAACCTAAAATACTTGCCCTTAAAAAGAAATCATTTGCACTGTGTTCATCAGTATGTATGGAAGGACATGGTGTTTTTAATCACCATAGAAACTGCTATCCATACAAATATTTATGTTTTAGGAAAGCTTAGGTCTCCACAATACTCTCTTGAATTTTTACCTGAAACCAAACCAGCTAATAAACCTCTGAAAGGGCCAAAATGAAAAAGAATAGCTCTTCCTTCTAAGGGGACATATTAGAAGTTACTTATAAAAATTTCCCTTGGGCACCAGGCCACAAGGTCTTTTGGCAATTCATTATTTATCCTCCTTATACCAAATTTGGCTTCATAATAAATATTAAAGAGAGTTTTGAAGAATTAGGTAACTATGATTAACTAAAATATCAAATAGTAACTGTGTGAACAGGGTAAAATAATTCATCCTCTAAGACGTAAATTCTTAATTGGGCTCTCAATAACCTGCATGGCACCCACAGGGAAAAACTCTATGAGAAGCCTTCCAGCAGGGAAAGATATAAAAGTGTTTTCCTTAGGAAAATAAATAAATAAATAAATTTTTCCTTTAGTTAAGAAAACAAAAACTCACAACCTGTATATAACTTTTTTTGTATAATCAGTGCTTTATAAAGATTTCCTAAGATTTAAACCTCTGAAGACAATCTATTGTAATGTGAGAGGAATCCATTGATTATCATTCCTAAAACCACGTAATCAATCTGTGCCCATGAACTTAGGAATACTAGTAGCCTCTATTTGGGGTCACGTTAGATTGCTATGAATCTTTTTAAGAATTCTTCATGAGTTTTTCTTTCTTTCTACTTCCACCTTATTACAGCTACACCTTTCTTAACTTCCTTGCAGTCAAAAGTCAGACCACCTGACCAACTAGGATGCTTTCCTCTAACTTCTCTTCAGCTTAGGATAGAGGTAAAGAATGAGGGAAGAGGAAAAGAAGGTGTGGGAGGGAGATGAGAGAAAAAGGAAGAAATAAAGAATCCTTGATTATGCACCCTTCACCTTTTTCTTTTCCTTTCACTGAACAATTAATTCTTTTTAACCAACATAAATTTTCCATCATAGTAGACAGAACTCTTATCTTGAGAAATCTTACAATGATCCTAGAAGAGTCAGAATAAAACAGATGAGCTAATGCAGGGTCTGAAGCAGACCCTGAAAGATGGGCAATCTATGTGTACCCAAACTCTTACAAGAGTTTTCTCACTTAAGAGAGTTTCAATGTAATCCGGTCTAGACTTGTGTGTTCTGGGCCTCTCAGGAATGGACTATTTTCTCATTTCATTCTTTCAGACACACCAACTCCCAAAAAACCTGTATCCTAAATCGTATAGACATTAAACAGGTAGGGAAGAGATGGGCATAGACTGTATTAACCCACAAGATTCACACTATAAAGAATGCTACTCAAATATTCTCTAACCTTTCATACCTGCACACTCACTCAAGCATACATACTAGACATAAAAATTGTGCAAGATCAAGCATCAGCTTTCTATTTTAAAAGCCTTAATTAAAAAAAAATAGAGAGAGATAGGCTCACCGCAGGTTCTTTAAAGGAATATTCAGTACTACACACTCCTTTATAAAAATCATAACTCAGTGTTAAGAACACAGTAGGGAACTGCTGCTTGACAATTACTTAAAATCACTGACAGCATCCAGTGCCAACTACGGATATCAGCAAGGAAGAACCATCTAACAACATAAAGGAATAATCTGTAAGTGATGTCACCAACGCTAACAAATTCGTTAATATTCCTGTGACAAGACAGTATTCGCCCCTGCTTCATGGTCACATGAAACAGTATCTTTTAAAGTTACATACTGAAGAGCAGCACTGGCCCTACTGCACAAAAAAAGATGCCCCACGGATGCTCTAAAACCCTCAAGGTACAGCTAAGAGGTCCTGTCCTACTCAGTGCCAAACGTCTGCGAGGCAGTCACTGCTCGAGCGATGGCTGCACATCAGTAGGGTTGAATAAATATACAAAGTATTCCCTTAAAATGATAAGGGCGGTACTCCTGCATTCAGATGTAGAATAACCCAGGAAATGGAAGAGGAGAAACAGGAAATAGTCCTCAGGTTACTGATTAAAGCAAAGTTTGATACAGATATCCCCTCTTGTAGGCACTCAGTGGGTAAAATGTAGCCACAACAAACTTTCCATCAAACATCCTTCCAGTCAGTAATTTCTGAGCAGCTTTGGAATCACCAGCATTGGCATACTCAACAAAGACCTGTAAGAGAACAGAGAAAACAAAGTAACTTCATTTTCATCAAAACTGTTTCAGAACAGTGCTTCTCCAACTTTGCACATGTGTGTGTGTGCACGCGCGTGTGTGCACGTGTGTGTATATCACTTAGTGACCTTGTTACAATGCAGATTTTGCTTCGGTAGATCTAAGGTGGGGCCTGAGTCTCTTCATTTCTAAACCAGATTTCAGGATACGCTAATGCTGCTGGTCCACGGACCGGCAAAGTTTAGAATACTTAGAACTCAGTTCAATTCTGAAAAAAGTTCCATCAAAACATACATCCTTTTGCCAAGTTCATAAAAGTATGTGGAACAGTGCTAAACACTTGCTGAAGACAGGGTTGAACAGCCCAGAGAACAACTACATTTCAACAGTGCCTCAAAGATTTGTAGAAGCCATAACTATAGTAAGGAAGAAATTTAAAACTAGGTAACTTCCTTTCCTAGGTAGATGAAATAGCTTAATTTATTAGTCTAATTTAATTTATTATGACAATCTAAAGCAAAAGTTACAAGCGAGTGAACTGACTGATCCTCAGTTACTGTGTAAGTGTGTGAACCAGGGAAAGAACTGCCTCTCCCACCTCAGTCAGATGCCCCCTTTGTTCCATCAATATTCTTCACACTGAGGTGCCAGCACTCTAGGACACTCAAGAGACTTTCAAGGTGGATGCGAGGGTAGACAGACATCAATCTCCAGATTCTTAACTGTCATTTGTACCTTTTCCTAAAAGTGGATCTACCTATAAGTTCAGGCAGGTTATCCCTTTTCACTTTCCCTCTCTTAGGAACCCTTTTCTTAGCTGAAAAATCAAAGTATTTCCAAAGGGCATAAAAACTTCCAGGACATAAAAAGAAACAACTTCAAATCCAATACTTTTTCTTTTTTTAATGGACTCTGCCTGCATTGGTCATGCAAATATTTCTGTTAAGGATAAAGTGTGACAATTAGACCTAGGATATTTTGGCCTGTGATGGCATGTTCTGAATTCATTAATATTGTAAAATGGACATGTAGAACTGATTCTGCCTCTTCCATTCTATGACATTTTAAGCTATGCATTACTCTTAAAAGAAAAAGTTTGAGACCATCCAATGCTAAAAATTGATGCCCATTTTACTCATCTTAGATATAGTTGATATTTTATATCTTTTTCTCTTTTTATATCTTTTGTGTTTAGCTGTAGTTTCTAGCAATAAATACTTTTCCATTAAATATAAAAGGAAGATTAAATGATGTCCAATGAGAATATGAAGTTCTTTTTGATTTTTTAAATTGATTATTACTCCAAAATCTATTAACCATGTTCAATAAATGTGTAGACATGCACTTATACAAGAAATACAATGCTTCCTATCTTACTTCTTGCTTCATGGATAACCTACAGTTTTACACATTATATCACTGTAAACTAAATAGAGGAAACACATTTTATAACTTATTATGTATAATTAGAGTTCTATCATTTTAATCTTGACTACTGTTTATAATTGTAAGAAGCATCCCATAATCTATATTCCAGTATTTTTTTAATATTCCTTAAAAAATTAACATGTTATTTTGAACTGAAAAATTCATGCTGACTTTACCAACTAGGCAACATCTTCAATGACTGAAAGAAGTTAAATCTGTGATTTTAAGAATTTATCAAAAGTTGCATTCACTCTCCACTTAGAAGCTTATTTCTTTTGTTGATAAAGAAACTTATCCTTTCTCTCAGTCATGTCAGTTCAGTTCAGTTGCTCAGTGGTGTCCGACTCTGTGACCCCATGGACTGCAGCATGCCAGGCTTCCCTGTCCATCACCAACTCCCAGAGCTTACTCAAACCCATGTCCATTAAGTCAATGATGCCATCCAACCATCTCATCCTCTGTCATCCCCTTCTCCTCCTGCCTTCAATCTTTCCCAGCATCAGGGTCTTTTCAAACGAGTCAGTTCTTCACACCAGGTGGCCAAAATATTGGGAGTTTCACCTTCAGCACCAGTCCTTCCAAGGAATATTCAGGACTGATCTCCTTTAGGATGGACTGGTTGGATCTCCTTGAGGTCCAAGGGACTCTCAAGAGTCTTCTCCAACACCACAGTTCAAAAGCATCAATTCTTCGGCACTGATAAACCCAATGTCTTTTTTCTCATGAAAGTGAAAGTCGCTCAGCCATGTTGGACTCTGCAACCCCATGGAATGTGTAGGGGTGAATCCTCCAGGCCAGAATACTGGCGTGGGTAGTCATTCCCTTCTCCAGGGGATCTTACCAACTGAGGGATGGAACCCAGGTCTCCTGCACTGCAGGTGGATTCTTTACCAGCTGCGCCACCAGGGAAGCCCCAAACTGCACTGACAGCAGAGGGTGGTTTTGCTCCATCCACCTCTGGTCACAGGCCCAGCACACTTCAGCTGCACCACGCTGCTGTTACTCTTTTTGGTCATACTTATTTTTTCCCTATCATCTTAAAAGATGGATACTTCTCCCCTGAAAAGACTTTCCAGTTTCTCTATCTTGCCACTCGGATTCAGTCAGATCATGTTAATCCTTAATTCAAAAATCTTCCAACATCCTTCCTTCCCATTCCTTGATCTGTCCTATACTCCCATACTTCCCTGATCTAATCTCCCATTATTCTCCATTCTTCTCACTTTGCATAGTCACACTGCCCTCCTCAAACCTACCAGGCATACTCAGGGGCTTGAAATTTGCTGTTCTCTTTGCTAGAATTCTCTTCCTTACCTCCTTCAAATTTTGACTCAAGTGTAATCCATTATGTTCTTCCTCACCTGCTTATTTAAAACTGCACTCCACCCCTCCATAGCACTCTCTACATCTCTTCTACCATCTCTTTTCCTCCACAGCACTTATCACTATACATTGTTCTGTCTGCTTCATTCACAGTTGTATCCCACCTGTTACGCTCAACAAATATGGTTGAATAAACAAACAGCAAGGATGCAGTTATTAGTATGCTCCTGACACTGAACGAGGTAAATGCTGTTATTACTAGACTGGCAATAATAACTTTTCACTAAGAGGAGAGTGAAATTTCTTTCACTTTTTTTCAGTTGCCAAGAATTTTCCTAATGTTTGACCATGAAAGACAAAATCCACAACCAGAGGTGATTTCACCAGGGGACATGTGGCACTGTCTATAGAGACATTCCTGAGGAGGAATCCAACTGAGGAGGAGGGTGGAAAGAGACCAATCCAGTGAGCAGAGGCCAAGGATGATGTTACACATCCTATAATGTACATGACAGCTCCCCAAACAAAGAATTATCCAGCTCAAATGTCAGTGGTGTTAAGATTAAGAAACAGAATAAAAGTATATTCTATTTTCTGGAAAAAAAAAACAAAAAACAAAACCTACAGATACAAGAACGACTTAATTTAGGATCACAGAGTTTTCTTCAGAAACTGTGATCATACTCTTGGCTTATACATTCTATAGATGAAAAAACTAAGGTTCCTCACAAAACAAGCCAAGTTGAAACTTGAACTCACCTTTCAGGATATTTCAGTCCAGTACATTTTCCTTGTTTAAATTATCACTGATAATTCTATTACAATCAGAACCTAACCTAAATGGTTTTCCAACTGTACTTAATTAGAAAAAACTGGGCCAAATATTTCTGTAGCTGACCCTGACCTAAATTAGCACATGATTCAGCTGGCTGTGTATAATGGCTTAAAAGTAGAGTAACACTTAAGAAAAAATTTTTTAACTGATAAAAAGTACATGCATATTATAGAACTTTTGGAAAAAGAAAGAAGTACAAAAAAGTAAAAACCGTGATAATGCAAATTCTTAATTCCTAGCAACATTTTGTGTGTATCTTTCTATAAAATTAAAACATTTTGTACAGGATTTTAAAAACCACTGAATCATTTTCAAATTATGAAAAATATTCACTTACTTGTCCTCTGCCCGGATTTTCTTTTGGAACAAGCAGAGATACCACTGGTCCATATTTTTGACATTCCTCTTTTACATCTTCTACAACATCTGATTATTAATAAATACAGCAGTAATCACTTTGATGTAATTTGCAAGCATTCATTATTTTCAGATTTTAAATTCAAGAATTCAAGAATCCATATCTAGGTAATGAAGTCATTTTCTGTAACTTTTAAAATTATGCTTAAGAATAATATAAATTTAATGCATTTAATAATTTTGTTTTTATATTTTAAATCTGTTTTGGTTAATACAGTCAAATAATTTGAAATCCAAAAGAAAAGCTTTCTTGCAACTTTGCAAAATGTCATCCTGTTCCCCTCCCTGAAGACAATAAGCATTATTAGTTTCTTTCTGTAACCTTCCAAAAACTTTATAAGCTTACACAAGCAAACATAATCATATATGCTTTAAATAAAAAGTTCCACTCTTTTTTAAAACTACATTTTTAGACCTTTCAATATCATTACACAAAATTTTCTCATTTACTTTTATGGTGATTTAATATTTCACTCTATAAAAAATTGATAAATTCTCTAATGTGTCCTACTGATGAATAATTAAACTATTCGCAAATTGCTTGCCATTATAAACAATACTGTAATAGATAAACGTGTATATACATCTCATTTCACTTATGTACTTACAAATTAACTTTCTGGAAATGGAACTGCTAGGTCAAAATTAATATGAATGTGTAATTGCTAGAGTTACCAATTTCCTTTTCATATAGGTTCATCAACCTAAACTCTCTCCAGTGACATATGAGAATATGCTTTCCTATACGTCACCCACATCTTCACTGTCGATGTGACAAGTGACAAAGATATCAGAGTATAGTATTAATATTACAAGTGAGAATGAAATGTGTGTGAGATATGTTGCACATCCTTTCATATAAATTGTTTGTGTCCTTTACCCACTATCTCTTGGCTTGCTTTATAAGGGTTCTTTCTGTGGTAAGAACTGTAAATATTTTGTCTATCGTGGTTACGTCAAGGTAAAATTTGTTGAATTATAATTTTGAATTCTGGGCACACTAATGCATACTATACCTTCTCCACTCCAGGAATATATATATATTTTTTAATCTCCTATGATTTTTTAGCTAAATTTTTTTTCCTTTACCTGCTCCTGCCTGCCTGCCCTTTTTCCTTCCCTCCTTACCCTCTCCCTTCTTCCTTGTTTTAATACTCTAACATATACAAAACTTGCAATTTATTTTGGTCTCACTAGAAGGTTTGAATCTAACTTCTTCCCCACTACCATCAAGATTACAAGACAGCTGTCCTAACATATATGATTTCCAGCAAGGCAAACTTACCTAAAACTATTGTAATTTGAAGATGACCTTGCTAATCAGAACTAACAAAAGTATTTAATGGTACTAAAAAGTCTGCTGCACTTTAGTTCATGTAAGACTCTTAAATAGTAAGATTTAATAACATTTAAATATTTAAATGTTTAAATGCCATTAAATGTTTAAATTAACATTTAAGCATTTAAATGCTTAATGTATTTAGAAGGAGGAAAAAAGGTGTTACATAGCAACATACACAGAAAAGAACAGATACACTCTATCCTGAGGTTTACTCAAGAAAGTCCACACTTGAATTTTATAGCAATCAAAATTATTAGGAGGAGACAGAATTAAATACAGTAGGTAGACACTTAAAAGACTTAATAATTTGAAATAGATGTCAAGAGATTATTTAGAACTACTGTTCCATAATGACCTAATTAAAACAATGCTGTTGTTGTTTAATTGCTAAGTGGTATCCAGCTCTTTTGCAACTCTATGGACTGCAGCCCGCCAGGCTCCTCTGTCCATGGGACTTCCCAGGCAAGAATACTGGAGTAGGTTGCCATTTCCTTTTCCAGGGGGTCTTCCCAGCGTAGGAACTGAACCCACATTTCCGGAATTGCGCATGGGTGGTTCAGTGGTAGAATTCTCGCCTGCCACAAGGGAGGCCCAGGTTCATTTCTTGGCCCATGCAGCCATAGCGTCCCTTTCCAAGCTTCCCTTGTGGCTCAGCTGGTAAAGAATCTGCCTGCAATGCGGGAGACCTGGGTTTGATCCCTGGGGTGGGAAGATCCCCTGGAGAAGAGAAAGGCTACCCACTCCAGTACTCTTGCCTGGAAAATCCCATGGATGGAGGAGCCTGGTAGGCTGCAGTCCGTGGGGTCGCTAAGAGTCAGACAAGACTGAGTGACTTGACTTCATTTCACCCACTCTAGTATTCTGAGCTGGAGAATTCCATGGATTGTATAGTCCATGGGGTCGCAACGAGTCAGACACACAAGAGTCAGTTCACTTCACTCCTGCATTGCAAGCGGATTCTTCACAACTGAGCCACCTGGGAATTCCAAGATAATGATGAGGGTAAGACTATTCTTCCAGATAAAAAGGCATCCTAAAAAGTATAGATTGGAGATTCCTACTACTGTCACAGATTCAAAGAAATCAGGTTTGTTTCATCTCTTAGGTAACTATATAAAGCTGAGGGACATAAAATGATTTACCCTTACAAGAAACAGTGTGGTAAAATTAGCTCCATCAGTAATGGTTTAATTTTCCACAAAGAAAATGTTCAGCACTAAGCAACTGATATTTCTGGACTTCCCAAGTGGGGGAAGTGGTAAAGACCGCACCTTCCAATGCAGGAGACACAGAAGACCTAGGAGACCTGGGTTCAATCCCTGGGTCGGGAAGATCCCCTGGAAGAGGAAATGGCAACCCACTCCAGTATTCCTGCCTGGAGAATCCCATGAACCGGGGAGCCTGGAGGGCTGAAGTCCACAGAGTTGCAAAGAGTCATACACGACTGAAGTGACTTAGCATGCGCACAATTGATATTTTTAAGTTTGGTCCTGCTTTTTAGTCCATTCACCACTCTGCTTCCAGAATGCTCTTATTAAACCCAAGTTTGACTATAACACTCTCCTAGTTTAAATTTTAACGGCTCTTTATTGCATTTTACAATGGACATTTACTGAATAGTTATCAGAAGCCAGGAACTATTCTACCCCTGATACAAAGTTCTTTTGTGTAATTTATATTCCAGTGTTATTATCTCTGAGATTAAAGTCCAAATTCTTAAACATATCAAACAAGTCTATTAGATACCTGTATTCTGGCTATCTTTTTAGCTTTAACTGACTGTTCCCCAAAATCCTAAGATACAGCCATCCCAAACAATTTGTTGTTCTCTGAATATGCCACACTTTCTCTCATTTCTGTGTCTCTGAGCTACTTTTAGCTCAACCCCTCAACTTTTAGTCAAGCAACTTCAATTACTAACAGAACTCAGATATTATATGTCTGTAGAGATGCCCATTCATGCATCACTCCGACTGAGTTAAATAGCCCTCCTCTCTGCCTCAGTACTTTACTGTAACCTTCAAATTTATATAACTAATTGTTTATATACTTGTAATTGTTTATATAACTGTCTCCCCTATTACACTAAAGACAGGAAATAAATCCACGGTGGTAAGTGCATAATCAGTAAATATGTTTTGAGTGAATGAACTGTTAAAAGTAAAATAAATAAAAAAGAGCTAAAAAGAAGTGAAAGCATAGGGCAGGAATAGCACAGACAGAAAGAAAGAAGTTGCTGGGAAAGATAATCTTCTTTATGTATTTAGTAAAGGTTTATCAGATGTAAAAGAGTTGAAAGGATCTGCAGAATTGTTCCAGTCTGCCTGGACTGCTCTAAGAAAATGCCACACACTGAGTGGCTTAAACAACAATCACTTGTTTCTCATAGCTCTGAAGGCTGGAATTCAAACATCAAGGTGCAGACAAATTTGATGCCTGGGTGTAGACAGCTGCCTTCCTGCTGTATACTCACACGGGCAGAGAAAGAGAACAAAGAGAAAGACTGCTCTGTCTATTGTGTTTTAAAGGCCACTAGTTCCATCAGAAGGGCCTCAGCTTCATGACCTAATCTAACCCTATTACCTCCTAAAGCTCCAACACTGGGGCTTAGAGCTTTCTCATAGGAAAATGGTGGGGGACACATCGAATCTGCTGCAGGCATGGAAAGTAAGTGCACTTCAGAGATCACACAGCTCAATGCCCTCACTAGATAAGCTAGCAAACCGTGAGAGCGCTGTGAGACGGCATGTCCATCCTGCACGGGAAAGACACGCCGAGACCGCCTGCAGGAGGCACTGACCTTCATACTCTTCCTCGTTCGCAAGGTAGCCATCGCCCAGCACGTTCAGCAGCCGCAGCACCGGCGTGGGGAGCATCACCAGGTCTTCAATGTGAGGGGCTGTCAAATTCAGCACAGCACGGTGAGACGCCAGCGCCGCCACATAGGCAGACGCGCCTCAGGCAGCGGGGCTTGGGGGTGTAAATTAGTTGATATCTTACTTGATTATAAAATAACCAAGGAAAAAAAGATGTATACAACTTACCAAAAGGAATGCTAAAGAACGGGCTGCACAATGCCATTTCAGCAGGAATTCTTCTGCTTGGATCATCATGAAGCATGCTAAAACACAAAAATAGGTATCTGTACATCAAATCTTTTGAAAACATAACCAATAAAGAAAATAAAAACGTCTAAATATTCAGCACAGCATTAATTATATTAGCACAACTTTCTGAATCATTCAACTACAAAAAATATAAATGCCACTTATGAGTAAACAGTTCAATAAATTATTATATATACCTAAGACATAAGGCAGAAGAACCGCAGATCAAATTGCCAACATCCACATCCACATCGAAAAAGCAAGAGAGTTCTAGAAAAACATCTATTTCTGCTTTACTGACTATGCCAAAGCCTTTGACTGTGTGATCACAATAAACTGTGGACAATTCTGAAAGAGATGGGAATACCAGACCACCTGACCTGCCTCTGGAGAAACCTACATGCAGGTCAGGAAGCAACAGTTAGAACTGGACATGGAACAAGACTGGTTCCAAATAGGAAAAGGAGTACGTCAAGGCTGCATATTGTCACTCTGCTTATTTAACTTATATGCACAGTACATCATGAGAAACGCTGGGCTGGAAGAAACAAGCTGGAATCAAGATTGTAAGAAGAAATATCAATACCCTCGGATATGTAGATGACACCACCCTTATGGCAGAAAGTGAAGAGGAACTAAAAAGCCTCTTGATGAAAGTGAAAGAGGAGAGTGAAAAAGTTGGCTTAAAGCTCAACATTTAGGAAACTAAGATCATGGCATCTGGTCCCATCACTTCATGGCACATACATGGGGAAACAGTGTCAGACTTTATTTTTTAGGGCTCCAAAATCACTGCAGATTGGTGACTGCAGCCACGAAATTAAAAAGACGCTTACTCTTTGGAAGGAAAGTTATGACCAACCTAGATAGCATATTAAAAAGCAGAGACATTACTTTGCCAACAAAGGTCCGTCTAGTCAAGGCTATGGTTTTTCCAATGGTCATGTATGGATGTGAGAGTTGGAATATAAAGAATGCTGAATGCCAAAGAACTGATGTTTTTGAACTGTGGTGTTGGAGAAGACTCTTGAGAGTCCCTTGGACAGCAAGGAGATCCAACCAGTCCATCCTAAAGGAGATCAGTCCTCATTGGAAGGACTGATGCTGAAGCTGAAACTCCAATACTTTGGCCACCTCATGTGAAGAGTTGACTCATTGGAAAAGACCCTGATGCTGGGAGGGATTGGGGGCAGAAAGAGAAGGGGACGACAGAGGATGAGATGGCTGGATGACATCACCGACTTGATAGACATGAGTTTGAGTAAACTCCGGGAGTTTGTGATGGACAGGGAGGCCTGGAGTGCTGCAGTTCATGGGGTCGCAAATAGTCGGACACAACTAAGCGACTGAACTAAACTGAACTGAAGACATAATACTATATTTTAATTTAAAATGTTTTTGATTAATAAACACAACATGAGAAAATGATCCACATCCTGTAACACTAACTGAAAAAAAGCTAGACACAGATTTACAGTAACTGAATTAAAAAAAAAAAAAAAAGAGGTGAGATGACTTTTGTCTTGTTAAAGCCTCCTAATAATAAAGCAACTTGATAGCAAAATTAAAAAATTTATGGATAACATCTCTAACAAAAGTAAGTAACCTCACTAGACAACAAAATCCAAGTAGCTAGGGACAAACCATCGATAGCAATGAGACTTGCACCAGATGGGCTTCTATGTAGAAGGAAGCAGAGAGAAACAACAGTTAATCTGATGACCCAGAGAAAAAAATAATCCCCCAAAACAGGTATTCACTGGAAAGCACAAAAAAACCAACTTGAGAAAAGCACTTTAAACTAATCAAGGGGTTATACATTCCAAATGAATGCAAGGGGTCCTTTGTAAGATTTGAGGGGGCTGAAGTAATCTAGACACTAGAACCTCTGAAAACCAATCAGCTGAAGCTGACTTCTAGGGCAGAGTCCCGCAGAGAAAAGAAGTCTCAGGAAGAGAACCCACACTGATGGGGTAAATAACAACTGAGCGAGAAAGCGACAAAGACATCAGGAAAAAGTAGGGAACGGGAAGAGCCCACAGGATCGCAAGAGAAAAAGACACACACACAAACAACAGGAGGAGGAGCTGTGTACAGTTAGAAAAGCTACGCCTTTCTAAGTTTAGGAAAACGAATTTCACATAAAAATGAGCCACACACAAAGTACTACAGCAAAGTTCCTAGACAAGGAAAGTAGACTGCAAAATAGCCTGCCCTCAGACAGCAAATGCATGCAAGAAAGACATAACCACAACACAGAGGAACACTGTTAACCAACCATCTGAAAATGAGCCCAAAGTATTTTTTTACAAAGATACAAGATACTAAAGAGTGACATAAATCAAAATTAGAAAATACCAAAAATCAGGGAAAGAATTAGGAATAAAAGGAAAAAAATCATTTCATAAACTAAGCTTAAGCCAGAAGTAACATAAGGATGAATAAAAACAAAAGATGATGTCCTAAAGATAAACAGAAGGCAGAAAGGAGAAAAAATTGTTAAATCAAAAAGAAATAATAAAATAAATAAAAAAACTATTCAAGACAGTGATAATACTGAATAGTCAGAGAAAATCTATTAATAATGCATATAGAATGGGAGTGCTTCAAAGAAAAAAAAGCAAAGTAATGGAACAAACACTAAGAACTGTAACTTAAGAATACTTTCATACAACAAACAAAAAGATCTAAAACTACCTATTTCCCGAGAATTCAGACCCAGAGCAATCAAAATGTATTATTCTGGTAAAATCACTAGACTTTTAACAAAAACATGAAATTCTCATGGCATTTAGACCAAAAGACCAAATTACTTAAAACAAAGTGTCATTGGCACTCTGCTTTCAACAGCAACACTATTTGCTAAAAGAGAATGGACTACAGTTGACCCCTGAACAACTTCAGCTTAGGAGCACACCCTCTCCCCAGCTGAAAATCCACTTAACTTACAGCTGGCCTTCCATATCCACAGCTTCTCTGTATCCACAGTTCTGCACCACGGATTCAACCAACTGCACATCAAGTAGTAACAAAATCTGTGTATAAACGGACTCACATAGTTCACACCCATGCTGCTCAACGATCAACTGTAACATGTTTAAAATGCTCAAGAAAAATGTCTGCCAAGGATTTTTATACTCAGATAAACAGACTTTCACGTGTAGTAACACAGTTTAACTATTCTTAATAAGCAAGAGCTCAGAGAATATTAATCCTACGATCAAAAGAACAAGCTTCAGTAGACTAAAATGATTAGAATACAAGGACCAGTGATGAATATTAAATATCCAGTTATACACAGAACTAAGACTAAATGAGAGCGTTTGAAAAATAAAAGAGTGCATAGCATGTAATAGCCATATAATCTGACAACACGGTTATAACTTTTTTCAAAGGGGAGAATAGGAAGAGCATATGCAAAAGCAACTGTTTTCAGTAATCTTACTATAGCACTATTATTGAGACTGTTTTAGTGTAATGTGGAATAAAGCAAATGAGTAATAATGAAATATTCTAATCTGGCATTCTCTTTGTCCTTAAGAACCATAATTCTTGACATAAAAGAAAAGAGACATAAAACAGAAGAAGTGAAAATACTGTGGTACTGAATTTAAGTCAGAAGTATCAGTATGAACCCCACCCACTTAACAGGCCTGGAAACAGTGATCACCCCAATAGCAATGAGCACTCTTAATACCCAGACTGTGGTTTTGAGAGCTTGTCTGGGCTTCCCAGGTGGCTCAGCTGCTAAAGAATCCACCTGCAATGCAGGAGACCTGAGTTTGATCCCTGGGCTGGGACGATCCCCTGGAGAAGGGAACGGCTACCCAGTATTCTGGCCTGGAGAATTCCACGGACTGTATAGTCCATGGGGGTCGCAAAGAGTCGAACGTGACTGAGTGCCTTTTACTTGGAGGTTCTAGCAAAGAGCACAGCTACTCGAACACCCTTGACCAAAGACCGGTTCTCCTCTATCGGGGATGGTTATCCCCTTCGCCCGAGCGCACAGCTCCGGGAGGGCCGCACATGGAGCTGGGAGGGAGGAAGGAGACAGCTGCCCAGTCAGCCAGTTTAGCTGAACGGGGTGACAGATGTCACAACCAGATCGCCTCACATCCCAGACTCTGGTTTTAAAACACTACCTCCTACTAAAAGAAACCAGGCTTCTTGGAGAAATGGCTACTTCCAGGTCTGGAGCAGGAAATGCATACTTTGAACTGGAAACATCTTATCATACCAGATAGTGATGAAGCTATTAAAGGTAATAAGGTATGCCAAAGTTAACCTGCAGAGCCTCAAGTTTATCAAAGATGAGATAATTTCAGCTTCAATTAGTATAAGAACTGGAACAGACTGAAATACACCAAATATATTTAGATTCATTAGTTAATAATGATATTTTGACCTTTCAAAAAGGAAATGATCCACTTTGAAAGATGATAAGCAATCAATTCATTATGAAAACAAGCCAATTAAGAGAACCAAGCATTTATTTCATCTTTAGTTAACTAAACGAGGAGACTAAAAACATCACTGTTCTACAACTCCTAACAAAGTAATGGATCTGAGCATTGAGTATTAATAGCTGTTAACACATCAAATGGAGATAGCCACGCTATGTGCTAACCTAAAAACACACAGTACCATATATACAACTACCAATTTACAGAAAATAGGGCAATATGTTAAACTATACTACAATAATACCATCTGTAAAATTCAGACTGTGGACAACTATACTGAGTCAGCAATCCAGGTTGTTCAACAAATAAACAAGGGAAAAGGCGGGTAGGAGATGGAAAGGGACCTTTTAGAGTAAATGAAACTTAAAAGGGATTCTTAATAGAACAGCAACGTTAAACTATAGTGTTAATTAGCCTCCAGCTAATAAAAATAAATAAAAAAAGAAAAAAGAACAGAAAATCCAAAAAAATAAATAAACTATAGTGTTTAGGGATGCATACTTATGTTAACAGAACTATAATAAAAACAAGGAAGTAATAACAATGACATCAGGGCAGAGGTTCTTTTAGGGACAAAGAAGGGGCTTGCAATTGGGATGGAATACACAGAGGACTTCTAGAGTAGCTGGTAAAGTTCTATTTCTCAACCTAAATGGTAGATACAATAATATTCCTAAGTATTCACCAGGCTATGCATTTTTTTTCAGTATTTATGTTTTATTCTAAAAAAAAAAGATTTGAATAATTTGCATGCACACACAACAAAATACGAAGGAAAATACTGACAATACAGCAAAGTGCTAACACTAGAAAATGAGCTTATAATTTTTTTCTCACCACGATTTTTTATAGCTTCCAAATCTAGTATTAGTTGCAGAAAGAAAAAGAATAAAGCTATCATTAAAAACAAAAAAACTCTCAAGCTAGATAACAAAGTCAATGCTAGAACTTGGACTTCTGAGTCTATCTTAGAATCCATTATATAATTTGACTTCTATCCTAGAATCCATTATATAATTTTACACTGCCTCTTTTCAATATAAAATGCTACATGCAATACCTAGTATCAATCAGCTACTAGCAGCTACTTAAAACTACTGTAATTTGTAAAACACACACACACACACAAATATGTGCAAGTAAAACTGATGAGATCTGAGTTCCATGGACTCTAATATCAACTTCCTAGTCTTGACATTGTACTCAGATTTTTAAGATGTTACCACTAAGGGAAATGGGTGAAAGCAAAACACTCTATCTGTCCCCAGAGTTTTCAATGGTAATTACTTAAAGTATAATGTATAATTACTTTACATGAAACATTATTTTGGCATTCCAAAGTAAACTTGGTCTTTAGTTAGTAAAGACTCTTTAAACACCTATTCTCCATCATTTACAGAACTGCCAGAGTTACAGAAGGCCCAACATACAGTGACTCGTCACCTATCTTCCACTGAACAGCGCAAAGTAAGAGCCTAATATCTGGTACTTGCCAAGAACACTCTTTTGAAAATAAATTTACTAAAATGACTTGACTACTTTGCTTCTTATTAGAAACCAATCTGTATAGAATATCTAAAGATTTTTAATTCTAAGGAGGCAAAACCTCTACATGATTAAGCAAACTAGAAAATAATATAAATTCATTCAGGAAAAAAAGCAAGTTTAAAGTACATGTAATGTACCTTTTGATAAGGTCTCTTAGGTGATAGGCTGGAATTGCGGCATTCACCACTGCTTTACTGGCAAATATGTGATCAATAATAGCAGAACTATTTGCCTAAAAAGACAAAAAAGTCCTTCTTTGGTTATTCAACTCAGTCCTTATTTGTTGAGTACTAGGCACACAGCACTTAACAGTTTGGTAAGAATACAACAGAAAACACTCTCTTCTGAAAGTTTATAATCTTAATGAAGGAGATTACATACATTATTATAAAACTTCTAGAGACGAGGAACATTTTTTTCTCTATCCTCAGTATCTAACACTGTGTGAACATTTACTAGGTGAATGAATAAAGAAACAAATACCAAGGCAAACACAGAGAAATGTAATTTAATGCAAACTGAGAAAATAGATGTGTGCTAGGTGACCCAGAGTGTCCTCATGATGAGTCCTCAACTGGTTTTCAGATGGAAATAAACTATCAAGGAGAAACCAGGGCAAAATTTAAAAATTGCATCTGTCACATTATTCATACCTTAAATCCTTGTGGAACAAAACATTTTCCCTAGGAGTGCTATGGAAGTGTGTACATGAGTAAAAATACTCAATTTATCATCATCACCAAATATCAATACTTACACACTATGCTAAGAATTAGATATCATTTCAACACTCTTATCATCATTTTACTGAAAGTAAACTACAGTTTAGTAAACCTAAATAACTAACTTAGAGGTGAAGAGAAGATATAAACCCTAAAGATTTAACTTCAGAGCCTAAGCTCATATTTGGTAATTGTGCCTCCAAGGAAAGTGATAAAATATAGAATGATACTTTTACCTAGGGGCAAATAGGGGGGACTGCTTTAATACACATCAGCCTCTAAATTTCACCAAAAAAAGAAAAAAAATTAAATGCCTAATTTAATAATTAACTAGATCACTGAATGTGATCTAATTCTACCTGGCCCTGTCCTAAGCAGAAAAAGTCTGAAGAATTCAAAGTCAGTCAAACCTAGTGCAGGAAATTGATGTGTTTATCTGTATAAGCACTAGAGAAAGTAGCCCCAAAGTACACTGGACTGTTTACAGGTACTAATGACAAAGAGTGATACTGGTTTTACTCCCATGGCAGCGTTTTTTTTGTTTTTTGTGTTTTTTTTGCCAAAAGTAAGGTACAACTACTAGGCTATTAAAGTATTCCTTCCAAGAACTGTTTACCAGATATAGATGACTGGGGGTTTAAGAGAAATAAAATTCTGTATAATAGCCACACACACTATGTATTATATGCTCAAAAAAATACTTGCGTCATATCAAAATCAGTAATCCCTAAACACCGTATTGCTTTTCAAACACCTAGCCTAAAAGGGACTGATACCATCACAACATTCAAGCCCCAATATGTTTGAAAACATACTGCAGTTAATTCTTAACTCACAAATATGCAAAAAGTAAATTCCTATGTTAGCTGGAACTTAGAACCCATGTTCCCAAGCAAACAATGTTATAAGCAGCAGTCACTTTCTCAAGATAGTTCACAAACAGAGCACAAATAGGTAGCAGTGTGGAACTGTGGACAGAACACTGAACTTCTGACTACCAGGGACAGAATTTGGTCCACAACATCCAGTTGTATGACCTTGAGCTAGTGGTTTTACATATTCGTGCCTCCAGGTTTTGACACATAAAAGAATAACCAAAATCCATTCTAACAATCCTCACAGAATACTACTGTATTAGTAATGTTTTAGAATGTTACTAAACAAACCACTTTTGCTTCCTCAGGAAAAGGCATTCATTTAAACACTTTATTAAGTACTTATAACATGCCAGGCCTCAGCTAAAAACAGTGAGCATGCAACGCTCCCTAGCGCATCTGTAGCGATGGGACTGAGGAATGGCATTACAGGTAACAGTAAGGGAAATACGGAGGAGATAAAGCAATCAGAGTCCTCAAAGAAAATCATTATAAACTGAGTACTCTTACACTGGGATTAAGGACCTGAAAGCGAAACACTGGTTCAGTTTACCTTCCATTCCTGAGATCTGACTGTATGTTTCAATTTCATTCCTGAGAACATTTCCAGTAAAATGATTCCTAGGCTCCACAGATCAACAGCTGAGGTACATTCTGTATCACTCTGCAGGCCAGCCTGGGCCAAGCAATTCTGCAGTTCTGCTTCAGGAGCCCGATACCCGTCTGTCTGAATATACTTTACATCCTAAAGAAAATGAGTAAGTATTATAACCAATCAAAAACTGCCCACCTTCCATCCATCTCTACAGTGTATTTACCTCTCAGAATGTGTGATAAGCCAATGTCAAACTGAATGCCAGAATTTTTAGTCCTTGGGGATCATAATTCTTTGGTTCATTAACTAGATAGTTCTCGAAGGCAAGCTGTACATTTTCCATACAACTGCTCATTTCTTTAGATGTTCTCTTGCCTGTGAGGCACTGCTGATAAATAAGGACACTCTGCAAAGAGCAGATAAACTATGGAGAATGGACCATTTGCCAGAACTGTCACATGAGTTCTTCCAGCACTGAAGACATCAGTAATTCAACAATTAACGAAACGGTCAAAGAAAAATAAAGTGTTCTATGTAAAGTACTTTTCATAATTTCAGAGCCCTCTTGTACTAGCTCTCTCCTACCTGACGCAAACGTGTGTTAGACACTCGGTCGTGTCCGCCTCTTTGAGACCCCATGAACTGTAGCCTGCCAGCCCCCTGTGCATGGAATTCTCCGGACAAGAATGCTGAAGTGGGTAGCCATTCCTTTCTCCAGGGGATCTTCCTGACCCAGGAATCAAACTTGGGTCATCTGCATTGCAGGCAGACGTTTTATCATCTGAGCCATCAGAGGAGCCCCAAATATCTCTTAAGTCTCTACTAAATCACCTCTGTTATTTAAAAATATTTGTTTTAGACCACTGAGGGGCTGGAGAGAGAAAGTATGTCTTACCTGATTGCCTTCTTTGAAGCTAAGTCCAAAGTCAATGAGTTTAAAACATTCATTCTCGGCACTCCACAGTATGTTACGTGGCTTGAGGTCTGCATGGACATAACCCTCATGATGAAGGAAAGCAAGGGCCTCTAGAACATCTCTGGCACAATGCTGTATCATCCACATGGAACAACCCTGGTGACTGGAATATAAAAGCAATTCCGAAACACTGACGTCCAGGAGTTCAAGCAACAGACAGCGTGATGGCACATTTGGAGAGAAGTGGATTGTGAAGACTCCATACAAAGTCACTGGAAAGAGAAATGAATTACAACACTTTAAAAACCAGGCTCCGAGTAAGTGGCTAATTAAAGTAGATACAAGTCTGGGGTAGTCTAGATAAGGATAGCTTTAATGAGCAAGCCACTGTAATTTATTTTTCCCATGACTAAGATTTTTGGGCAACTCGGTTCTTTTATCTTAACAAAATAAGGTGAGATGACCTTCAGCAGCAGATTACTACTAAAAGATATTAAATACGACACAATAATTCAAACTGTGTTTCCCAAGCACTCAGTGATGGGTGAATATGCACTTAGGGTGCCAAGCAAAACTGATCAGAAGAAAAATCCAAATACTAAGTAAGTACTCTTAACGTAAATGTCACAACGTGCAAAATCAAAACTGAAGATCCTTTCCTGATCCAGAATAGCACTCTATAATCTAAATATTAAAAGGAGAGATTAGGACATTCAAGATGACGTTTTAACAATCTTGTAGAGATTCATCAAGTACTTAGGCCAAAAAAATTCCCTCCTAAATAGCCAGGTTATATACACCATTTAGCAACCCTTGAAAAAGAAAAGGAAAAAAAAAAGCAACACTAATATTAAGAAATTCTTCTTTAAATGGTAGTATTAAAGAGGTCACTCTTCAAATTAAATATGGATCATGTTTGCCAGGAAGACATTTATTAGCCAAAGCCGTAACTAATTATAAGCTCTCTGTTAGTATAATAAGAATGAAAACTGTTTTCGCAGATCAATCACCAGTAATCATTATATATCTTACATTCTAAATATCTGAATGATGAAACATGGTCTTACCTGGCTAAAAGTATAAAGTGCACATGTATAATTTTCACACTTCCATATGAATACCTATGTAAAACTTAGGAGTCATTTCTCCCAAATCCATACCAAATATGTATCAACAACAACCTATACGAGTTATTAGTTTTGACGTCACAAGTACGAGAAATATTTCCCATTTTTCACTGGTGTGCAAAGATTCAAAAATTTCCGTACAAGAGATGACAATCTACTAAAGATACACCTCCTTTCACTTGAGAAGACAATTCTCTATGCAACATTCTCTAATGAGAACTGAAGCAAAACAGCATTTACTGAGCATCTACTACGAGCAAAGCAGACAATCTTCCCCGTACTGCAGAGTGAAAGGGGGATGGGAAACGGCCTTGTACCCGGTGATGAGTACAGGGCGAGACCCACTTCTCCAGCCTAAAAGACGGAAGACGGAAGGAGACAGCACGCTAAAACTGGGATCTGGGCAAGACACGAAGGGAGATAGCGGCAATTACCGATGTTTCTGTGCCCCTGCAACTGCTCCAGCGCCGCCCTCTCTTTGCGGAAACCATACTCGGCGGCCGAGGCCGCAGCCCCGGTGGTTCCTGGCGGTAGGAACTGCTTCAGCGCTCCTGGGGGCGAGCCGGGTGTGCCGCAGCAACGCACCCGATACACCGAGGCCGAGGAGCCGCTACCCAGGCGGCTCTGTACCTGCCACAGCCGCCCGAAGGCTTCCAGAAACCGCGGTGGCTCCGCGCCCCACGCGCAGCCGGATCCCGCCATCGGTGCGGACTGAGGGGGCTGACACGAGCTGACTCGACGCCCGGGGCAGGCCGGCAGGGACTGCGGTCACATCCCCGCCCGCCGGACCAGCGGCTCCGCAGGGACGGGCCTGCAGCCGCCTCACCGACTGCCGGGACCTCAAGCCGCCATGACACCGGAAGCCGTCTCCTGGGGCGGGGTGGGGAGGGAGGTCCCAGAAGCCGGAAATAGGGGAAGAGCCAATCCTTCCGGCTGAAGGAGGCGGGCCTAGAGGGGGCAGGGCCTAGGGGTGACGAGATCGATTTAGGCTTGGAGAAGACGCCGGAGGTTGAGGGGTGGTCAAGTTTGGAGTCCTCACTGTTCCAGGCCCTACATAAACTGGTCTCACACATGTTGTGCGTGCCTGCATGCTCAGTCGCCTCGGACTCTTTGCGACCCCATGAACTGTAGCCCGTCAAGCTCCTCTGTCCATGGAATTTCCCAGACAAGAACACTGAAATCTGTTGCCATTTCCTCCTGCAGAGGATCTTCCTCACCTAGGGATCGAACTCGTGTCTCTTGCATTACCAGGCTGATTCTTTTACTGTGCCACTTGGGAAACCCCTCACCCACGGTTACCTGACACTAAAGTTGCTCTTTTTTCCTGTTGAGGCACCTCACCACTGGAAACCTAGGAAAATAAAACCCTGCCTGTATTTCTCGTAGCCAGTGTCTCAGAGGGAACACCCCACTTATTAAAACTAAAGGCATGAGTTTACTACCACCTCCACACCCATGGTCACTTGTGGCTATAATTCTGGATGTCCAGGCCTCTGTGCCTCATAGTCTACTTGGCTTGTGGCTATCTCATCAAAAAGCACGCAATCCCAGGAAGATCTTTCACCTCTGGTTGAAAGCTTGACTGCAAACCCTTGAGAGACCCCCTAAGCTAGAACCACCTATCTAAGATAGTTTTGAATTTATTCCTGCAGAAATTATGACAACAAATATGTATTATTATATGTTCCTCACTTTTGGAGTAATTTATTATGTAGTAAAAAAAAAAACACTAGAAATTAGAAGGGAATAAATATATAGTTAATGTCTGCAAAATTTATGATTGTCACAAACCTGTTTTGTAGACTAGTTGTATACATCTATGCTCTCTCTAATCAGCAGTCAAAGAAGGCATGACTTACTATAAACATATCAATATAAATCATTATGATTAAAATTTTTTCTTTTTAATTTTATAAATAATAAATGATGTTTGATATGGTTTTTATTTTTGTTATTATTAGTAGTGTACACCTTTTTCATATTTTTATCATCCATTTTAATTTCCTCTTCTGTATGTTTTCTTGCAGAATCACCTTGTAGGTTTCCTTTTCCCCTGTACTTTCCTTATTCCAATGTTCTTTCTGATTAGATCCTTTTTTTTTTTTGGATTAGATCCTTGTCTTTCCACATGGCTGGTACCCATCAGGAAATACTAGCCACCCACTTGGAATTTCAGTCTCTAACTGAAAGGAATTTACTGCTCCTGTCTTTCTTGTTCTTTCTGCTCTCCTGAACAATATCTCTTTGCAATGTGCTATGGATTGAACTTCTCGGTGACCCTAATTCATATTTTAAAACCCCGATCATCAATGTGATAGTATTTGGAGATGAGGACTTTGTGAGGTAGTTAGGTCATGAGGGTTCCACCTTAATGGTAGGATTAGTGCCCTTATAAGAAGAAATGCAGGAAAGCTTGCTTTTGATAGGGACAGAGTAAAGGGACAAAGTAGGTGATTAAATAGTGAATCTCACTAGGGGATTGTAAGTAGAAAAAATATGGGAGACCCTTGTAAATTAAAGATTATCCAAGAAAACAGGTTTGCTCAGCCACAAAACCAAGCAGGCTTGCTTAGTCACAAAACCATGCTACAGAAGCATGAGACATGCCCCCAAGCAATAAAACAATGGTGGCATGGGACCCACATCCTGCCCAATGAGCTCAGTAAGTTAATGATCTGTAGGAGATGCTCTCTGCACACACGAAAAACACTAATTTGTGGACCTAGCTTGACCATGTCAGTCAGTTCAGTTCAGTCGCTCAGTCGTGTCCAACTCTTTTCGACCCCCTGAACCACAGCACGCCAGGCCTCCCTGTCCATTGCCAACTCCCGGAGTACACCCAAACCCATGTCTATCAAGTGGGTGATGCCATCCAACCATCTCATCCACTGTCGTCCCCTTCTCCTCCTGCCCTCAATCTTTCCCAGCATCAGGGTCTTTTCAAATGAGTCAGCTCTCCGCATGAGGTGGCCAAAGTATTGGAGTTTCAGCTTCAGCATCAGTCCTTCCAATGAGGACTGATCTCCTTTAGGATGGACTGGTTGGATCTCCTTGCTGTCCAAGGGACTCTCAAGAGTCTTCTCCAACACCACAGTTCAAAAGCATCAATTCTTCGGCGCTCAGCTTTCTTTATAGTCAACTCTCACATCCGTACATGACCACTGGAAAAACCATAGCCTTGACCAGATGGACCAGAAAACTCCCCTGCCAAACCTGGAGGAGAAACTGTTGATAGAAGCATGACATCTACTCAAGGATGAACAAGAAGTTCTCCCTCACCCTGATTTTCCTTTCATTATAAAACTGTAGTGCAGTAAATTCTTGGGACGAAGCATTTCTTGCCTGTCTGCCTGTAAGCCTCACAAGCATCCTGTTCTAATAAATCACTTCTTATGTATCACTTTGCCTCTCACTGAATTCTTGCTGCATTGAGACACAAATGGCTGTGTTATCAGAGCTCTTTGGAGCCCTGGAAATGACACCAAGTGGTTTCACCGTCTCCTTCTGCTGTCTGTTGTGTGAGGCCACAACAAGAAGTTGGCAGATTCTAAGCCAAGAAGAGAGTTTCATTAAGAACCAGACTATGCTGGTACTCTGATCTCAGACTTCCAGCCCCCAGAATCATGAGAATATAAATTGTTATTTAAGCCACCCAGTCTCTGGTAATTTGTTATAGCAGCTTGAGCTAAGCACAATGATTATCATAAACTTTGGGCCACCCAAGTAGTCCTGTAGTAGAACCCATTTCTTTCAGTATTTCAAAAGACTTTGTTCTCATTGCCTTGTTCTACACCTGAGGTAGGTGGACCATTTTGGTGGTCTGTCATGACATTTACCATCTTTTCAATATCCACATCCTCTTTAATGTCAGAAGCAGCTCTAGAAGGAGGCTGAGCCAGGGCCTTTGGCTAGTGCTTTTCCTGTGGGTCTGGAGACCACACCCTGGCTTCAGAGTCAGACTTAATTTCAATCTACCATTTAACTGTCTATGTAACTCTAAGTAAACTAACCAAACTCTCTTAGGCACAAATTCTTTGGCTAATTTGAAGACAGGATGAAATATCTGCCTTGCTTTACCATCTGAGCCACCAGGGAAGTCCATTTGCCTTGCTATAATTAAATAAAATAACAAATGTAGATTATCTCATGAAGTACTTGACACACAGTAGGTGGGATCTCAGTAAGATTTGCTTATTTCTATAATTCTACACTTGGACTTAGAGTGACCACTAGAACCTTTCTCATCATGACTCCTCCTCAGGGGACTGCAAAGTTCCTACAGCTGACTAATTGTGTTTCTTGGCACTACCTCTAAATATTTCCTCCAGGTATTCTGTCCCCTTGTGGTATGTAAAGGACTGAATCACACTTCTTTTCCTGTCAAGGTTACTGCCCTTCAGATGGAGGAGGATAATGTGGTGCAGGATTCATTCTGCAGACACTTTTTGGAAAGTCGGTGTGAGCCAGCTATGACAGGGAATTCCATCACCTCCAAAAGTTTGAAATCTTAACGTCCTGGAGGCTACTGGTGACTCACGTGATCTGGGAGAAAGTTAAATTTAGAGGGTGCATTGGTTCCCTCTGTTGTTACAATGGAGAAATTACAGCCTCTGAGGCCCTAGAGCCATGTCACAAAAATTGCAAAAATAGTCTCCTAAACTCAGAGTAAAACAGAGATACAGAGTTTTGGTTTTTGTTTTTTATTTCCGCCCCCTAGGTTGTAAAACAGGTGGCTGAGCGGGACAACTGATTCACCCACTGGGTCTGATCCCAGAAGCACTGTCCTCGGCCAAATGGCACAAGAGAGCTAGGCAGAGTCTCTGATGCAGGAGCTGCAGCGACAGGGCCCAAGGAGGGCTAGAGTGACTTGGGGGAAAAACTAATCTGTGATCAAAAAGGAGAGATTGTTTTGAGAAAATATGGAAACTAAACTTCATAGAGGACTTATTGTGAGCTGTTACATCATGAGGGCTCTTTGATAAACAGTAGTTCTTCAAAACCTGTACAAAATTATTGCTTCCTATCTACAACCCTATATCACCCTTTGCAGTTATCTTCTCAAAGGAAGCATGGCAAAACTTAACAGAGATGGTTTTTATGAAAAGTGGGGTGCTTAATAATACAGGTGGGTCTAAATAACAGAAACACTTATTACTCAAGCATTAGTGAAAATCAGTCTAGTCTTGGCCTTAAGACCAAGAGAGATAGAATATTCTAGAGAGAGGACTGTGAGCCCAAATCCAGAAAGGCAGAAAAGCCAGGTAGCTTGAAACCATTTATTCATTTTTTCCTGACTTCAATAAATATTTATAAAGAACTACTACAATTTCTGGTCAAAGAACTCAGAGTCTGGTGAAGGAAACAGATAAGATTTAAGAAAAATAAATACGAGTGATGAACTATGCTTAGAACATAAGAAAAACCTCATTATTTAAGACTGGAGAAAGTTGAGATAATGCTTGTGGGAAAGTGATCTAATAAACTGAAAAACAAAGATGACCCCAAACTTTCCCATTAAGGTGGTGTGATATCATCATCCCAATAGGGAAGGGGAAAGAGGTGGACATTGAAAGAGAAAATAACTTCAGTGAAATGTATTGAGAAGGAGGGTGGCACTAAGCTTCTCTAGATTCAAAAGTGGGTTTAAATGGAATGGTACATAGTTGTCCTGCAGTGATCAGAGCAGGGCAGAGGTTCCAGGA